CCCTCTCCCTCTCCCTCTCCCTCTCCTTCTCTCTGCTCTCTCTCTCCCTCTCTCCCTCTCCCCCCCACACGCTCTCTCTCCCTCTCTCTTACACACACACACACACACACACACACACACACACACACACACACACACACAAAGAACTACAGTCATGTGATTATGTCTTTTTCATGTAAGTTTCTTCAAAGAGCTTTAGCTGAAATAAAAGAAAAAAAAACAGCTTTAAAGGCATATTACCAGTCTTTTCAGTCTTTTAAAGGGGCAGAAGCTTTACCTTCTAAGAGTAGGAGCCTGCCCTGCCTAGTGGCTAGGCAACATCTGTTGGGGCATGGCCCCAAGTGCTGTTGACTCCTCAACCACCTGCCCCATGACCCAGGCTGTCTATGGCACCACCCCTTCCCTCTCTGGGGAGCTTGGTCTTACTGTCCTCTCCATTCCCAGTATGCCAGCTTCTGCTCTGTTGGTTCACACAGCCTTCCTCACCTTTGCGAGTGCTGTCTCCCAGCTTTTGAGCTTGTTCATACATGAAATCCATCTTTCTCCCTCCTTCCCTCTGCCCCTTTCTTTCCCCTCCCCTTTCTTTCCACCATTTTCCCCTCGCCCTCTGCCCTTTCTCTGGTGAATGAAGCAGATGACCTACTACTTCTCTAGCTTATACATTTGCGCCGCATTTCTCTAGGAGTCAGGGAGAAAGGAGTGTATCAGAAATAGTAAATGTGAGGGTATTCAAGTCACTAAGACCTTTAAGAAGCAACCAAAATAGAGAAGAAGACAGGGAAACTGCATGGTTTGCATTCTGGCTGCAGAGATTCCACAGTTAATGCCTGTAGCTTTTTATATCACATTCTTACTCCCTGGATTCACTGCTTTATTTGAAAATTTGATTATCTTTATTTTGTGTTTATATATGTATTTGTGTCTTTATTTTGCCCTTAGTTGTTACCACCTTCTTCCTTCTTAATTTTTTCCCTTGATTCATAGGTCTTAAGCATGCAAGGCAAGCACTCTGGCAGCTGAGCCACACCCCAGGTCCTAGCATCTACCTGAAGATGTAGTTCCACCCTCTTCTGACTTGCCTTGTTCTGCATATGATGCTCTTTAGCTGTCTTTCTTCTTCTTTGCCTCACTTGCTGGTGCAAGGCCTACTGTGTCTTTGATGTTGTGTAGTTTTATTCTGTCTGTAGGTTTGAATTTTGTTGCCCTGTGTATAGCTTGCTTGAGTCTCTGTTTCCTAGCTTACAAGTTCAGTAATAATCTTTCTTCAATCTAGAGAACTTTAAAACTATTTTCTCTTCAAAGTCTTACTCTTTTTTCCTCTTTCACCAGAAGGGAAACATGACAGATATGTATGGAACTTTCTATGTTATCCCTCAGCTCTTAGTTTCTCTGAAAATTTCCAAGTTTTCATGTTGCATTCTGCTGTCCTGCTTCATGTTGGCTGTTTGTGTGGGGATCAGATCCTGGGCTTTGCTGTGCTAAGCAAGGCCCTGGTGAGCCAGGCAAGACTCCAGTGGGCTAAGCAAGGCCCCAGTGGGCCAGGCAAGACTCCAGTGGGCTAAGCGAGGCCCCGGTAGGCCAAGTAAGGCTCCTGTGGGCTGTCTCCTGCCCCTGTTATGTTGCATCTGGTGATTTATTTTTAAAGAATCATTTTCTAGTTTATTTCTCTTGCTTTTATCTTCTTTTGTGTTTAATCCCTTGACTTTGTAATCTCTAGTCTTAATGCCTTTCTGACTCCAGAAATTGTAGGTGGTAGTTTTAAAATTTGTTTTGTAGGCCTAAAAGATGGCTCAGTGGGTAAAGTTCCATGCCATTAAGCTTGATGGTTTAGTTCAGTCCTTAGAACTCAGATGGTGAAAGAAGACAACAGCCTTCCTGTTACCCTTTGACCTCCACATGTGTGCCATGGTATGCACACACCCACTTACATACATGAGAACACACACACACACACTCAAAATAAAATAAATGTAAAAATGTTTTCCCATGGCAGCCCCAATCTTTCTAATGCATGCATTTATAATTTTCTCTCTAATTTCAAGTTCTCCTTGAAGCATTCCCATTGATCAGGTTCTGCAGCTAAGTCTTGAGTCTACAGAATAGCCATCCCCATCCCCCCTCTGCATTATCTTCATTTGAGCTCTGTAATGGATGTGCTTTCTCTTTTCCTGGATGTGGATGAAGTGTCCCTCCCCAGCAACTTCTGTCCCTTTGAAGGCTACAAAGTTTCTTCTGTATCCTGGCTGGTGTTTTGAAATTGGGATTTCATAACCAGATGATTCACAGTCTAGGAGTTCTCAGTCATTCTGGTTCTCACCTTGAGCAATAAATAAAGTGCCCTTCTTTATTGCTGGACACAAGAGAAACTTCTTCCACCTTAATCCCTGCCCTGCAGTGTATGTGTTTACAAGGCTTTATACTCTTGAGTATATCTTGGTTAGGATTTCTATTACTGTGATAAAACACTATGGTCATAAGTATTTTGAGGAGGAAAGGATTTTGCTTATATTTCTAGATCAGAGTTCATTATGGAAGGAATTTAGGAGAGAAACTCAAAAAACGGGTTGTTTCAATAATTATTTAATCCCGTCCTTAGGTTTCGTCACTGCCTTTGGTATTTAAGTTCCTGGATGAAAGACACATACAACCTTTATATTTGCAAATCCTAAGATAGCACAATAGCTGGGCAGCTACCTACCCTTCATGCTGATAGAATCTATTTTCCTATCGATAACTCTGAGTTATTACTTAATATTTACAAGATTTCATCTGGGCTGCTCTTAACTCCAATTTGCCAGCCCACAGGGCCATGTTCTTATGGCTCCCTAACCCAAGGTGTCTTCTCCTTCCTTTTCCTAACTCATAGTGGCTTCCCTCTTCTCCCCCATGGTTCTCCTCTGACCCAAAGCCCACCTAAATCCCACCAATGTCTCTTCTGCCCACCTCTTGCTGTTGGCATCTTTATTTACCCATCAGAAATAATTTGGGAACAGGGCCACAGGGTCTATGTGTAGACTCTAGTTCTTGGGGGCCTGCACTTAGCATTACAATAGCTAGCAAAAGACTAAACCTCAACACAGAGCAGGAATCTGGAGGCAGGAGCTAATGCAGAGGCCATGATGGGGTGGTGCTTATTGGCTTACTCCCCATGGCTTGCTCAATCTGCTTATTATAGCAAACAGGACTACCAGCCCAGGAATGGCACCAGTCACAATGGGCTGGGCCCTTCCATATCAATTACTAATTAAGAAAATTCCCTACAGCCGTGCCTATAGGCCAGTCTAATGGAGTACTTTTCTTAGTTGACATTCTCTCTTCTGAAATGGTTCTAGACTGTGTTGGGTTGACATAAAAACTAGCCAGCATAGAGGGAGTGCATCAGAGTGCCCTCATGTCTGTCAGTCTCCAAGTTCCTGTTCTGTCTGACACCTACCTCTGTTCTTACCCTGCTCACTGTGGCCTGCCTATCAGTCTTGCTTTTTCTCACCTCACCAGGTCCTGCTCTCCTTCAGAGCTGCTGCAGTGATGTCACTGTTCCTTCTGGTCAGCATCTTCATGGCATGGCAGGCTAAACGACTGCCTTTTGTCAACCTAATTTTAGAACTCCAAACAAGGTACGACTGATGGAGAACACAAGTTTCCATCCTGTGAGTTATAG